TGCTGGTGAGGAGTTGTGATCCCTTGGAGGAGGAGAGGCATTCTGGTTTTCGGTGTTTTCATCCTTTTTGCACTGGCATCTTCCCATCTTTTTGGATTTATTTACCTGTGGTCTTCATAGCTGGTGACTTTCACATGGGGTCTTTGAGTGTACGTCCTGTTTGTTGATGACGAAGTTATTCCTTTCTGTTTCATGGTTTTCCTTCTAACAGTCAGGGCCCTTTGCTGTAGAACTGCTGGAGGTCCACTCCAGACCCCACTTGCCTAGGGATCACCTGCAGCAGCTGCAGAACAATAAGGGTTGCTGCCAGTTTCTTCTTCTGCTATCTTTGTCCCAGAAGGATACCCACCAGATGTCAGTCTGAGCTCTCCTTTATGAGGTGACTCTTTGGCTATACGGCGGTCAGGGAGCTGCTTGAGGAGACAGTCTGTCCTTTATAGGAGTTCAAGTACTGAGCTGTGATCTCCGTTGTTCTGTTCAGAGCTGCTGTGCAGGTATGTTTAAGTCTGCTGCAGCAGAACTCATAACCACCTTTTCTTCCCAGGTGCTCTGTCCTGGGAAGGTAGGGCTTTATTTGTAAGTTTCTGTCATGCTGCTGCCTTTTTTCATGGATGCCCTGCCCAGCGAGGAGGTAGCCTAGTCACAGCCTGCCAGCAGAGGCGTTGCTGAGCTGCCGTGGGCTCTGCCCAGCTGCTATGTGAACTTCCTTGCAGTTTTGTTTATAGGAGTAGAGTTAGAACTGCCTCGGTAATGGTGAGCTGCCTCGGTAATGGTGGACTGCCTCAGTAATAGTGGACTACCCCAGTAGTGGTAGACTGCCTCAGTAATGGCAGACACCCTTCCCCCACAGACCTGGACCATCCTGGGTTCAGCTTGCTGTGAAACTCTCAATCCAGAGCGTTTCAGATTGCTGGTCTTTGTGGGTGTGGGACTGGCCAAGCCAGATCACCTGGTTCCCTGTTTTAGTCCCCTTTTCTTTCAGTTGAACAGGTGACTCTGTCTCCCAGGCATTCCAGTCGCCAGCTGAAACGGCACCTGGATTTGTGTGAGTTTTTGTGCGGAGACCCACTGCTCTGGCTGAAACAACCGTGGGGGAGGCTGGTGATGCTTTTTTGCCTGGGAATTTCCTGGCCTGGCTCCCTGTTTCAGTCCCCTTTTTTTCAGTTGAACGGGCGACTCTGTCTCCCAGGCATTCCAGTCACCCTCTGCGTTTTCACTGGGAGCTACAATCCAGAGCTGTTCTTATTTGGCCATCATGAATCCCCTGGTAGGCTCCTGCAGTGTATTCCGTGGTCCCTAGTCACCACATCCAGCCTCTGAAGCTGGTTGGGCCCTGAGTTGGTGACCATGTCAATGTCCCTGATGTCCCTAGAGCTCTCTGCACAGTCAGTGCTGGGGCCAGCGCTACTTATGATCAGTGTTTCTCTTGCTGGGCACTGCTCCTGCCCTTAGTCTCTAGGCCTCTTTATTCAGTCCTGCCTCAAAGACTCAGCCTCCATCTCTGCCTAAAGCAGCAAATTTCCATCCCACTGTGGAATTCCTCCAGGGATATGTATTTCCCTCAATTAATGTTCAGAAATCATTTCCTTCCTAAGCCATGACTCTAAGCAATGTTCTGAATGTTCAGTTTTTCCCTGCTTGGGTACAAGATGGGCTTTCCCCATGGTTCTCATAATTCACCCAGGATGGTTCCTCTATGCAATTTGGAGTCTCACCTTGTTCCCAGTGTAGCTACTTGGAGTCCTGTGCCCCATAGTAGGCCAGGACTCTGGGGGCAACAGTGATGAATTTCTCAGGGGTCTTCAAGAAATGCTAGGTGTGGGTACCTTCTGCCTCGAAGACTCAGAGTTATACTTTGTCATCACCCTCAGGCTTCTTAAGACCCCTTCCCTGGGAATGCCACACAGAGAAGTTAAGAAGAATCAAAACAGACAGGGTTCGCTGGGTTTTCCCACTCAGTCTATTAGCATGAGATCATTTGCTTTTTGTCCAATCGGATTTCTACATGGCTGTGTACTCTTTATTGAATTTAAGCTTTAAAATGAACAGTTTTCCAATGGTTCTTTGGGTATTCATTTCTGAAGTTTCCCATGTCAAATAAAACTTTGATTAAATGAATCTCTTATGCTTAAAAAAAAAGACCTCCTCTCAAGAATGTTCATTTCATTGGCAATTTCAGGAGCTGTTATGTCTGTCACCTACTATGCATAGGGTCCCCTTTCCACTGGGTGGGTCTGACATGCTCAGGCATAGGCTCCTCCACTGGGGCAAACCTGGTTTTGGCTGTGTGATGCTCCCCCTCTGGTGTGGGTATCTGGAAATGGCTCCTTCCCTTACAACCTGTTGCTTCTCTAGAATGTACATGGCTCCCTAACCAAATGGGCCAGTGTCTTCTCTGAACAGATTCACATTTTCTGCTACCCAGGTGTTCATCTTTCAGTTTCTAGCTCTGAATCTCTTCACCCTTTTCCTCTCTTTCAGGGTCTTAAACTATCAAGGATGGGCTATGGTTTCAGCAAGTTCTTGGGGACAAGGCCTCATTGTAACTTTTGAAGGTAATGTGTATTTTATTGTGGTCATAGGCCATTTTTTTTTCTTTTTTGTTTTATTGTACTTTAGACCCTGGGGTACATGTGCAGATCATGCAAGACTGTTGCATAGGTACATTCATGGCAAGGTGGTTTGCTGCTTCCATACCCCCATCACATATGCCTGACATTTCTCCCCACATTATCCCTCCCCACCCTCCCTCCCACTATCCCTCCCATAGCTCCCCCCCCGACAACGGACCCCAGTGCGTGATGCTTCCCTCTCTGTGTACACGTGTTCTCATTGTTCAACACCCAAGGGGAGCATCACATACTGGGGTGTTTGATCTTCTGTTCTTGTGTCAGTTTGCTGAGAATGATGGTTTCCAGCTTCATCCATGTCCCTACAAAGGACATGAACTCATCATTTTTTATGGCTGCGTAGTATTCCATGGTGTATATGTGCCACATTTTCTTTGACCAGTATATCATTGATGGGCATTTGGGTTGGTTCCAGGTCTTTGCTCTTGTAAACAGTGCTGCGATGAACATGCATGTGCATGTGTTCTTATAACAGAATGATTTATAATCCTTTGGGTATACACCCAGTAATGGGATTGCTGGGTCAAATGGAATTTCTATTTCTAGATCCTTAGGGAATTGCCACACTGTCTTCCACAATGGTTGAACTAATTTACACTCCCACCAATAGTGTAAAAGTGTTCCTGTTTCTCCACATCCTCTCCAGCATCTGTTGTCTCCAGATTTTTTAATGATCGCCATTCTAACTGGCGTGAGATGGTATTTCAATGTGGTTTTGATTTGCATTTCGCTAACGACCAGTGATGATGAGCATTTTTTCATATGCTTTTTGGCTGCATAAATGTCTTCTTTTGAAAAGTGTCTGTTCATATCCTTCTCCTACTTTTGGATGGATTTGTTTGTTTGTTTTTTGTAAACCTGTTTTAGTTCTTTGTGATTCTGGATATTAGCCCTTTGTCAGATGGGTAGATTGTAAAAGATTTTTCCCATTCTGTTGGTTGCTGGTTTGCTCTAGTAATTGTTTCTTTTGTTGTACAGAAGCTCTGAAGTTTAACTAGATCCCATTTGTCTATTTTGGCTTTTGTTGCAATTCCTTTTGGTATTTTGGTCATGAATTCCTTGCCTATGCCTATGTCCTGGATGATTTTGCCTAGATTTTCTTCTAGGGCTTTTATGGTGTTAGGTCTTACGTTTAAGTCTTTAATCCATCTGGAGTTAATGTTAGTGTAAGATGTCAGGAAGGGGTCCAGTTTCTGCTTTCTGCCACTTCTTTATAAAAACATATTAAACTTTGTATTTTACAACCACATTGGTAAATGGTGTGTACATTTCTGGCTAGATTTGTTGGTGTATATATATTCATCATCATTGTATTCACTTTAGGAAATGATTTTCTAAAAATTATAACATTTTCATTTACCCCTATATTTATTATGGGCCTGGAACCCTGCAGCTGCCTTGCCTGAGAAAAGAATTGGCTCTGGTGGAGGTGACCTGTCCTGAGAAATAGACAGGGTCTTCCTGAGTGAGGGGATGGCACCAGAAAGAAGAGGGACAGGCTGAGGTAAGAGCAGAAGAGGAGGCAATAACCTACCCCTGGTGAAAGGTATGCTGGGGACAGGACATGAAGGAGACAGATTCCATTTAAACATCCCCTGCTGTGCTGGGTCCCTGCAGAGCACACTCACTCCTCTCCACCCTCATTGCCTTTGCAGCTCACTGTGGGGCAAGGGAGGATGGATCCCATTCCTGCTGCAAAGACAGGACTCAGGGAAACTCAACAATTTAGGGAGGATGCTATGAAACCCAGTAATTATATTTTTATGTGTCTAAAATAATATAATATTATAAAAAATATTTTAATGCAATGTTTAAAAAATTAAATCTGAGGCCGATATCCATGATGAACAAAAATCGTAATTTAAAAGCCAGACAAGATCCACCCTGCTTTGCAGTTCTTTTATCCCTGGTTGGCTCTGGCCTGAACCCTGCACACCTAGGGGAGGCCCAGGGATAGTGCAGAGGAGCCTGGTGTGGACAGCAGGACTCAGCACACACAGGAGGACTGGAGTGAAAGCAGGGTCTCTGAGCAGGACCCCACCTCAGACCCCAGAGCCCGAAGAACCAGAGAGAGGCATGTGGGCAGGTGGTGGGATGATGGTAGGGAAACAGTCTTCAGAGAGAGGCCCAGCGCTTGGGCAAGAGATGCTGAGAAAGCAAGTACTCCACAGAAGTCTCGTCCCTCACCTGACACTTGCAACGCCTGTCTGTGTCTGCCTCCCCTAGGCAGCCTGACTGTGAGGCCTGGAAAGCCTCCCTTTTCAAGAAACGACAAAGGGAACTTGATGACTTGCAGTTAGTTTATTGGAATGAAAATGAATTTGAGATTTCAACAGTTGCCTTGCAGTTTCCACAAAAAAAGATCCAAAGGAAAAAGAAAATAAGAAAAATCATGGTTTCTAGCAGTAGGCAGCAGTTTTCTGGCCATCTTCCGTGTCGTAGTGGTGTCTGAGTCAAAGGTCCCGTATAAAGTTAGTAGAGTGCACAGAAAGGGCTGTCATATATTGCTTGCTGGAAAACAAAAGCAGGCCACTTAGATTTGCAAATCACTCTTAGAAAGTGAGATACTAAAATACAGACATTTCTCTTCATGTTGTTTTTCTGCATTTGTTCACAAACATCTAACACTTAGGAAAATTTGCACTGGAAGCAAAACAAGAATTCTCTTTTCATTTATTCTGTCTTCCAAAAGACACTTTTTTTTTTTAAGGCAATGTTTCTCTGCCTCCCAGGCTAGAGTGCAAGGTGCAAGTGGCATGATCTCAGCTCACTACAATCTCCGTCTCCAGGTTAAAGCCATTATCCTGCCTTGGCCTCCCAAGTAGGTGGGATTACAGATGGCTGCCACCACGCCCAGTTAATTTTTGTATTTTTAGTAGAGATAGGTTTTCACCATGTTGGCCAGGCTGGTCTTGAACTCTTGACCTCAGTTAATCCACCCACCTCAGCTTCCCAGAGTGCTGGGGTTACAGCTGTGAGCCAACGCACAAGACCCAGGAGACACTTACTCCCACAGACATCCAACAGGGGTCAGGATTTTAGGATCTTTTCCCTGCTAGGATCCCCTTAAGATTTTCTTCTCCAAAAATCCTATTCCTTGAAATAATTTATCCAATACATACATGACATGCACTATTGGATGAAGACCTGCCAGTTGAAACTGATTCTGAGACCACTCTTTCCACACAGAATTGTTTTGTTTTTGGTTTTAAGAGACGGTGTCTCCCTATGTTGCCCAGGCTGTAGTGCAGTGGCTATTCACAGTCGCGATCCCACTACCGATCAGCACGGGAATTTTGACCAGCTCTGTTTCTGACCTGGAACGGTTCACCGCTCTTTAGGCAACTTGGTGATCCCCAATCCCAGGAGATCACCATATTGATGCCAAACTTAGTGTGGACACCCGATCAGCATAGCGCACTACAGCCCAGAACTCCTGGACTCAAGAGATCCTCCCGCCTCAGCCTCCCGAGTAGCTGGGACTACAGGCACGAACCACTGCACCCGGCTACAATACAGAATTGTTAAAACCTCAGCTCAGATATATGAATATTGATGGTTTGGAGTTGCTGTGTCGCCTTACGAGTGAGAAATATTGTAACAATCTGAGGCTTTTCACCCTTTACCTTGGAATAGATTTAAAAATATTGGAGCTAGATATGATTAGTCTACTCTAGGTTTTTAAAGAAGAAATGATTCTACAAATGTTTGGTAGGTCTTTACATTTTCTACCATAAAATGTTTCAAATGGAATTTTGAAATATTACATAAATGTTAAAAATAGAATCTGTAGGTAACATGGTTTTTTTTAATGGGCAGAAATACTTATTGTTATAATCATTGACTTTTATTTTGATGAAGAATTCTGGCACTCGTGCTGTTTCGCACCATGATCTGCACTTCCTATTTCCAGAGGTATTTAATTAAATAGTCCATGATTCCCAGTCAGGTGTGCCAACAAATCTGGGCATGGGTTTTAAATTCTTTATATTAGAATCTGTAGAGTTTGCCCAAATAGTATTTTCTGCACTGTGTAAAATAATTTTGAGAACATTTTGATTATTCATTACTATGACAAGGTAAATTGTATTGTTGGTTGTTCCCACTAGTGAGTGGCTCTTTGAGAATCAGATATTTTCTCTTGATAGAAAATGTCCAGCCTCGCCAACATGGTGAAACTCCATTTCTACGGAAAATATAAAACTTGCCCGGCGTGGTGGCAGGCACCTGTAATTGCAGCTAGTGGGGAGACTGAGGCAGGAAAATACCTTGAAGTTGGGAGGCAGAGGTTGCAGTGAGCCGAGATTGCACCACTGCACTCCAGCCCAGTGACAGGGTGAGACCCTGTCTCACAAAAATTAAAGAAAGAAAGAAAATGTAGGTGTATCTCCGTCCCTGTCTGTGTCCATGTGTGTATGTCTATGTGTTTATCTTTCTGTGTCTATGTGCATGTGTCTGTGTGTTTCTATGTACACGTGTGTGTTTGTGTCTCTGATTCTGCGTGTGTGTCTGTGTTTCTATGTGTGTGTGTCTCTGTGTTTCTATAAGTATGTCTGTGTTTGTGTGTCTATGTGAGAAAGAGTGTGCGTGTGTGTGTGTCCGTGTGTGTGAATGGACTGGGCAGCTGATGATTAGCTCTGCCTTCTTTGCTGGAGCTTTCTTTTCTTTGTTTCCTTTCTTTCTTTCTTTCTTCCTTCTTTTTTTCCAATTATCACTCCCTGAAGACACTCAAAGTAAAGTTGCAAAGCACCCTTAAATTAACCAATGTATAAAGAAAGCTTGTTCACCAGTGCCTAACACTCCTCGTGGCACATTTGGAGCCTGTTTGTTTCTGGACCGTGATTTTAAAGGGCACATAAGAAAAAAAATGAAATTACCATAATCACTCCACAATTGTGCAGAGTTTTGTTTGATTGGTTGAGGAAACACTGTTTGAGTTCCGCTGCAGCCTGTGCACTGTTATCACCGTCTATGAACTCTTGTAGATATTCCTGGAATTCTGATACAGACACTTCAGGATCAAAGGCCTTGTCAACCAAAAACTCCAGCAGTTGGCAGCCAGAACCTGAGAAAAAGGCACAAGAACATGGGCCATCACCAGAGGGGTGAACCTGTAGCTGGGTTTTTTTCTTGGATGCCGGTGATCGTTGTGGGTTTTTGGCCTCCAACCTCTTAAGGAATAAGCGGTGGGGCCACTGCAGGTGGACCGTATGCTCGTAAAAAGAATATCGGACCCAAAAAGCGTTGCAGAAAGATGATTTTATTTAGGTAGAGAAAAGAGAAGGAAAGGAGAATAGAAATGCTTCCACAAAGAGTGTGGAAGGGGATTCCAGAGGGGAAATCACAGAAGGAGCTCCCACCAAGTGGGAGGGGATTCCAGAGAGCTGGAAAATCTGGCTCAGTTGAGGGAGCATGTACTTTTCTCCTGGGAGAAACCCCCACCTTCTCTAAGACCCTGGGCCAATGAAAGGAGTTCCTTAGAACTTCCGCTGGAGTGACTGACTTTTAGTTTCTTCCCGCGACTGCAAAATTGAAACAGAAACCATTGAATCTCCCGAATGGAAAGAGATGGGAGTGGGGTATGGGACTGGGAAATTCTTGCCCTTAAAGCTACGCCCCCTCATGGACCCCAAAAGAGAACACATTCCCTCAAACCCATTCTGGGGATGAGCTCTGAGGCTAGTCATCTGCTTACCTCCCAGGAGAGACTGAGCTTCAGAAAGATTATGGCGCAGGGTCTCAGGTTTTCAATTCTAGGAGCATAAACTCAGTCTGCGCAAATTCTCCTGACCTCTAAAGCTCAGATCAGCCCAACCCTGTGCATTCTTGATGAAGAGGACCCTCGGGAAATGAGGGGCTCCGAATGGGGACACACAGCAAACACGGCTTCAACTTCTCTGGTCCAAAGTCATGCAATGCTTCCCTTTTATCATTCCCAGAATCAAGTAGGGGTTCAATGATTTCAGATGAATGGGTCTAAGACATTGCCCATCAGCTCTGTTAAGTCAACTGCAATAAAAAAGGAACCTAAAACAGAACTTCTTACTTATGATAGGATCTGAGGTGGCCCCCACTTTTGGGGAGTGGAAAGTGCTCAGGACGTGGATTTGCATGAGCTGCTTGTGCTCTGGGCTCTGCTGTCTTCTGTTTAGTTGACTGTGAACTTGTCAGCTATTCACCCACTTGCACCTACTTTGGCAACAAGTGAGGCAGAGTGTGCAGGGTAAGGTTTGTGACTGCACAACCCCTAGCTTTGAGGCTGACCTCCCTGCCCAGAACTCACCTGCATAGCAGTACAGAGGGAGGGCCGTCAGCATGAGGACCATCAGCAGCTTCATGGTGAGGCGGGTGCTGTCGGCGTTCAGTTGTGTGTGGCAGGGATCAAGGAAGCTGCTGTGGAGGTGAGCGCTCAGCACTGCTCTATTTATTCCCCAGGGAGGCAGCTTAGTCCCTTCCAGGAATAAAGCAATGTGTCAACCTGGCGTGAGACCAGGACACATTAGCATGCACCAAGGGGAACCCAGCCGGCCTGTGCTCTGTTTGTAGAAACAGAGAAGGCAGTGATTTTTGGACCCCTGACAATTTGGGGACTGCAGTAATGACACATGGCTCCAGATAAATTGAATGTGACAGCGTTTTCCAAAATATAGAGCAAAACCCAGCAGCGTGACCTGTGCTCTCGTCACTGTGGTGATTATGATCATGACTTCTCTATTCCTTCCTGCCTTGTGCTTCCTGCCCCCTCAAGTCTTCTTCTGCCTCTCTTCACTTCTTCTTCTCCTCCTATTCTTCAAGGTGCAGACAGCTTCATATCCTGTCATTCTCTCCTGGAACAATTATAGTTGGAGTAGGTGCAATACCTGTATCTTCCCCTGGGAGGCAGTCCTTCTTCACCCACAGTCATTCCTTTTTCATTAAAGGTGTTTCTCAAGAGATCGAGACCATCCTGGTCAACATGGTGAAACCCCGTCTCTACTAAAAATACAAAAAATTAGCTGGGCATGGTGGCGCGTGCCTGTAAT